TATATATATATATATATATATATATTTATATATATATATATATATATATATATATATAAAATATATACATATATATATATATATACATATATATATATATATATATATATATATATATATATATATATATATATATATATATATATATATATATATATATATATATTTATACATATACATATACATATACATAACCTTTGGAATTTGGGTCGGCATGCAGCAATGCCAACCTAAAAGTGTTTGAGGTCAACAAATAATGCTGACCTTGTTTCTATGTTTAATGGTAAGACTTTTAAATCACTTTTTTGATTGATGTCGACAAATTATTGTCAACCTTTTTTTTCTTAATTCCAAGGGTTGTGTGTATACATATATATATATATATATATATATATATATATATATATATATATATATATATATATATATATATATATATATATATATATATATATATATATATATATATATATATATATATATATATATATATATATATATATATATATATATATATATATATATATATATATATATATATATATATATATATATTATATATATATATATATATATATATATATATATATATATATACAATAGAAATATAGGTTTGCAATCAATCAAAGGACTATATAATTTCTTTAATAATAAGTATAATCCATTTACTTTAATAAAATTTCCTAGATGATAAAAAAAAAAGGAGAAATTAAGGAGTGTTTCTCATCGGTTACTTAGTAAATTGCCAATAACATTCCAACATGTGATATAGTGGTTATTCATATGTTAATACAGTTATATAAGAGACAGGTGTGTTGAAAATTTCCTTTAGAGTAAAGGAAATTTTCTACCCTCCTGTCGCTTATATAACTGTTATGACTGGTTTAATTTTTTAAATTAGACTTATTTTTTAGTCAAAACTTTTGAACTTCACTAATAACTAATTACTAAAGTTAAGTAATTGGTTATTAGCAAAGCTCCAAAACTTGATATTGTAATATTTCAAAAAGTTCATTAACTAATGTAATGGTCCAATTATTTTGAATAGAACAATATAAAAGTTGTTAATTAAAGATATTGAATTATATTGAATTATCACCATAAACTCTCTGTATTATTAATAGGTTTTCTTTTTGAAAAATATGACTATACATGAGATTCTGCGATGTCTAAGTCTTTCAAACAGTCAGAACTTGGTTCTTGATATAGTATATCAATTATTATACTTGAAATACTATATCAAGTGTCAAGTATATACTTGATATATATATATATATATATATATATATATATATATATATATATATATATATATATATATATATATATATATATATATATATATATATATATATATATATATATATATAGTACATCATATACCCAGTTTTTAACTATTTATTTCAAAATCTGTATCAATTTCAATATATGTATCAATATTAATACGATTCTCAAGTAATTAAATGTTTAAAAATATATATAAATTAGCAAGAACCTGTCTATAAGTGGCTTTTCAAAAGGTGCTTTTAAAATTCTCCTTGAATCTTTGGGAAGTTCCAAACCTTAATTTGGCAATATTGCCAATAAGAAGATCATTAACTAATGTACTGGTTCCATTATAAAATAGCATAATGTTGTCGAGTAAAGACATTGAATTAAAAGAATTATTAGTATAATTGTTCCATGATCATTAACAGGTTTCCCTATTGAAAAATTCGATTCTGCATGAGATGTCTAAATCTTATTGTTAGAACTTGGTTCTTGATTTAGCAATACTATACTAATAGTATATCAAGTATATATATACATAGTATAGCATATATACAGTTTTAAACCGTTTCTTTCATTATCTGTAAAAATTTCATTAACTGTATCAATATTACCACAATTTTCAATTGATAACAAAAACAAAAATTAGATGAAACGTGTCTATTAGTTGTCGTAAAAAGACGAATCGAGTGTTGGGGAGAAATACGAATTTTACGTAGGGGAGAAATACTCCCGACGGAAACATTAGCCCGTATTTTGACCTGCATAACATTTGTTGCATGTCGCTACGTCGTGAATAATAAAGTTCTGAAGTTCCTGGTGTTATAAAAGTAAATAAACTTATTGTAAAATTAAACAAAGATATGTTTAACAAGCTTAGTGTCAAGTTATCATCTGTTAATGCTACAGAAATAAATCCTAATAAAGGTAGGGTTTTTATTTTTTTGAGTTCTTATGTTATATCGATGGAGAGCTCTCTTTGAATAAAAACTTAAGAGAGAATATTTACTTTTAATGAGACTTACTCTCTCTAGAGAGAGTAAGTCTCATTAAAAGTAAATTTTATTTAAAAGAGTAAATCTCCTCTCTTAAGTTTTTTTTTTTCAGATGAGAGTAATTGTTCCCTTTTCAAAATTAAGTTATCAAAAAGAATAATTTTATTGATAAAGTGAACCTATTTGGCGGTGTTCTGTGATGAGAGTAATTCTCCCCTTTTTAAAGTTTTTGTTGTAAGAATAAGTTTTACTTTTTTCAAGTTTTTTTAAGAGTAAATCTCCACTCTTAATTTTTTTTTTTCAAATGAAAGTAATTCTCTCCTTTTTTTTAAATTAAATTATCAAAAAGAATAATTTTATTGATAAAGTAAACCTATTTGGCAGTGTTCTGTGGTGAGAGTAATTCTCTCCTTTATAAAGTTTTTGTTGTAAGAATAAGTTTTACTTTTTTCAAGTTTTAATTAAAAGAGTAAATCTCCTCTCTTATTTATAAGAATCTTTTTTTTTAAAGGTTTAAACTAGATAAGTTAGATTTTAAAGGAAATCAATTTACATCAGTTTTTTTTCAGCATTGTCATCAATCAATCCATCAACTAGTTTAACAGAAATTCAGTTAAAGAAACCTAGGTAAAATACCTAATTTATATCCATAAGTAACTAAAGTATATAAAGTCCTAACTAAAAGTTGTTGTTTTTAGTTTTATGTGTTCTGCTTGTATGATGTCGTTTACAAGAAAAGATAACATGAAAAGACATGCATTACAGGCACATAAAACCATTTTTAGAGATAATCAATCCAAAGATAAAAGAACGCCATGTCATTATCAAAACTGCAGCCAAGTATTTTTTCAAAACGTCAAACTTATTAAACACATAGAGGAGTGTCATGAAGGTATATTTACCAAAGAATCTTACATTTTTTTATCAGAATCTGAAAAAGAGGAACTTAATAGTTATGTTTTTTTGAGTAAACAAACTGGTAGTTTTTTCACTGGAAAAAATATAAATAAAGATGTAAAAATAAGTTATTATATTTTTCAAAATGATGGTCATTCAAAACCGCATCGCTCTGTTAGTGAACCAGCAAGAAAAACTAATAAAAGATACTACAGAGGGAGTGTTAAATCAGGTGCTTTCTGCCCTGCCAGGATGATTGTCAAAGTAAACATAAATGGTGTCACTAATGTTCAGTATATCAAAACTCATAACCACAGTATTGGTATTACAAATACCATGTATCAACCTATACCAGGTAATATTAAAAAAAACATTTCCGCTAAATTATCAATAGGTGTGCCTGTAAATACAGTTTATCGTGATCTTAGAGAAAGTTTTGGAGACAGACAAAATAGAAATGATGAAGATACTGTTTTAACTAAATCACATCTTCTTACAAAAAAAAACATTTCTGATATCAGCAGAGCAGTAAAAAAAGGATGTCGGCTTCACCCTGATGATAGCGTTTCAACTTTTTTACTTGTTCAAAAGTTGAAGTCTGAAGATTTTAACAGCATTCTCGTTTATAAGTCACAAGGACAGCAAACTTTTATTGGCCCAAAGGTGTATGATGACATTGACCTTAATAAGGATTCCTTTGTGGTTGGTATACAAACAAAGCATCAACTATCAATGTTTGAAACACATTCATCTCAAATTGTTTGTATTGATGCTACACATTGTACCAATCAGTATGCATTCCCTCTTGTAACTTTACTAGTTCGAGATGAATTTAAAAGGGGTTATCCAGTAGCTTTTCTTATTTCCAATCATGCAGATGAACAAACCATAACACCATTTTTAGAGGAAATAAAAAGAAGATGCAATAATTCTGTAAACGTTAATGCTGTTATGACAGATGATGATTTGTCAGGATGGAATGCTTTTACTAATGTTATTGGAGATGTGCGCCACTTGCTATGCAAATGGCATAAAAAACGTGCATAGCGCAATAAACTTCCTTTAGTTGGTCCAACTAATTTACAAGAAGAAGTTTATAGGATCTTAGAGACAATCATTGACGAAAAAAACCCTGATGTTTTTTTATCAACTATAAATGGTTTTGTAAAGGCATATGAACATAAATGTCCTAACTTCATTAGTTACTTTGTTACATACTAAGCTCCACGACATCTAAAATGGACTTCTTGTTATCGCAACTTTCAACATGCAGACACTGATACTAATATGTTATGTGAATTATTTCATAACAAATTAAAAACAGTTTATATGGAAAGACGACCTAATAAAAGGTTAGACGATTTAATTAATTTACTTTTAACAATCGAAGAAAATAGTTATTGGCACCACAAAAGAGACACTATTTATCTTGGAACAATATCTCTTCCAAAAAAGTATAATAAAAGACATGAAAAAGGAATGTTGATTTTGATAAATGTATTAGTAAATGTTCATTAACTCAGTACACAGTTAAAAGTCAATCAAAAGATGTAACATACAATGTTGACATTCTAACTGAAGCTTGTAAGGAAAGTTTGTGTTTGGAATCATGTATAAATCCAGCCTGTAATGGTTTGAGTGAGCATTTATATAGGTGTAGTTGTAATGACATTGTAATCCTTTACAAGCATGTTCATAAGTTACAATCATTTCTTCTGAGATCTCAAGAAAAAAACTGCCCAAAAGAATCTTTAGCTGTTGGTACAGGTATTAATCAAGTGAAGCAAAAATCTCAAACATTTATTAATGAGTCTGAAAGGTTTCAAAAAAATGTTGATGAACTATCTACATTATTTTCTCATCTCATGATAATAAATTTGCAACTTCCTTCAATAAACAGACAACTGGAAGACATGATTAGACAAGCTGAAGCCATCAAAAATATTAATTTAATTGAGATACCTACAGAGCCAACATCACACAATAACCTTTTAAATTTTGAACCAAATAAGAAATTAGATAATCAATGGCAGCCTAATAAATTTAAGAGAACAAGAAAAGGAAATAGGAAAAAGGAAATAAAATCATATCAATATCCTGCACAAAACCAAAAAGAGGAGATAGTTCTGAAATTGTCTCAGCAACATGTTGATCTAATTCATGATAAGCAAAATACAAGAGTATGCGATAACATTGAACCAAGTGATTTCACTAACACTCTCATTACGTAAGCTTTCTTAAATGCATATTTAAATATTTGTTACTAATCAATTTATTTCCAAATATTTTAGCTTTTAAACAAGTTGGTTTATTCAAGTTAATTGGATGTAATGGATAATATATTACAGAGTAAATAAGAAAATAAACTATATTTCCTTCAGTATATTAGTTATATTTGTGTGTAAAATATAAATTATTTGCATATATGTGTGTGTTTGTATATATATATATATATATACAAACTAACACACACACACACATATATATATATATATATATATATATATATATATATATATATATATATATATATATATATATATATATATATATATATATATATATATATATATATATATATATATATATATATATATATATATATATATATATTATATATATATATATATATATATATATATATATTATATATATATATATATATATATATATATATATATATATATATATATATATATATATATATATATATATATGTATGTATTTAGGCATGGCGCTCACCAACTATCTTTTATTTCCCTTTTAACATTAGAAAACATTATACCATCTGACGTTTTGTTTAATTTAAAAAAAAGCACTCCAAGTTTTCAAAAAGGCTGGCTTCAAGATGAAGTAATAGGAGGTTTTCTGCATTGCTTAGGAAAAAGGTACCCTTTAATTAAATATTTAGGTCCAACTGAAGCATTAGCTTTCAGCTGTTCAAGAAGTTTAAGGCTTTTATGGAAAGATGTTGATACTAAAGTTATAGAACAAGTTTTTATTCATTTTAACCCAACTAATTCTCATTGGATTTTAATACATCTAAAAGTTATAACAAAAGAAGTAACTCTACTTGATCCACTCCATTGCATTATTATGCCAAATAATTTATCACACAATAAATCCATTGCTGTTGCTAAAGACCTTTTTAGACTAAAATTTAACATTTTAAACCCAACTGTTATTTCAGCCCCAAGTCATTGTTTACAGAAGGATAGTTACAACTGCGGTGTTTACGTATGCTATTATGCATTACATCTTTGTGAAGGTATCCCTATTTTTCAATAATATATTGTATAATATATATTTATATGTTAGTATTTTTTTTAGTTGTCAATTTTGCAACTACTTTTTTGTTATGTTGCTTATAATTAATTCATATATAAATTCATTTATTTATTAACTATTTCATTTATTGCATAAAATTTTTTAATGCTGTAATTGTCCAGTAAATTATAATTGTTAATTGCTTGCATTACTTATAATTTGCGACTATTCAAAAATGCATCATAACTTATGATGTATAAAAAAACCGTGTTATGATTCATAACACGATTTTTTATTTTCTGTATTTATATAAATTCATTTAAAATTGTGTTTTCAGAAAAAAATATTAATGATCCATTTAACGAAGTACAATTTCGTAAATATATTTACGAGACTTTATGCGGTAGGTGTTTAAAGAACCTTGAAAGTGGTTTTGAACGTTTTAGGAAATATTTTTGTTCTTATCCTTTATTATTTTGTTCGACGACAATGAATTAAATGCGATTCGGTTGGCGAAAAACAAATATATACCGTAGTTACATTTAGAAATTAGGAAATATAAAAAATATATGAAAAAGTCTATGAAATTTGAGATAGAGTAATAGATGTTGTTGAAGTGAATACAGGAATAACCTTTTTACATTATATTATTACAGATTTGCAAGAACACATCCTTTGAGAAGAACTATTGGGTGCAATGCACAAAATGTCCACAGTGGTATAATTGTGAGTGTGTCCATATTTCAATCAAAGATGCAGATATCAGTGCTACTTTCCAATGTCAATGATACAATCCTATCAATTTTAAAAAACGGCTATTTTCATAGCCACAAATCGTTTTAAAAACATTAAATGACATGAAAAATAAATAAATTAAACATAACTAGTTCAATTCTATTCTAATTACTGGACCGTAGCCCCAGGCGCCAAAATTGGGAGGGCGCAAATTCACCAATTGAATTAAAAAAATATGTTAGTTATTTATGTTTTTTTCAACGCCATTTTAAGTCTTTGCGCCCAGGGCAATTTTCATTTTTGCCCCCCGACCCCCTCCTCGTTACTCCACTATAATAAACAGACGCGGCGTAGTGCTAACACGCTTGCCTCAGAAGAAAGAATTCTGCGTTTCAAAGCGACCTCTGGGGAAGTTTTGTGACAGTGGTTGGGATAACTTCCTGTAAAATGCTCCACCGCAATGCTCTGTAATAAGACTCTAAGGACTTCTTGAGGCACCTAAAATGAAAAACATAGGCAGGTTCTTTCAGAGGTTTAGAGAGGCCTGGGCCAGTTATAAATTGGAGGCCCCAAGATGACATTTTGTGTAAAATGCAACACAAGTTGATGCAAAGCTAATTTAAGTCTTCAGATAAATTGGGACCATATAAGTCTGTAACTATTACAATAAAAACAGATTGTCAACTAAAGCAATTAAAGACAGACTGTCACTCATATACAAGGCCCTTTTTGTTAATTTTAGCAAGCCAACAAGCCGAGAAATTTGCTTGTCTACTAATAACACATTTCTTATGGAGGCCTGGGACTTTTCTTAGTGTAATTAGAAATTTCGAATTATTATTTTGATGTTTAAAAAATATATTTTGAAAATGTGAGGCTCCAACATAATCGAAGGCCTAGGCCATATGACCCATGTGGCTACCCTCTCGTAGGGCCTGCACATAGTTAGATTAATCTACATTGCAATGCATGTAGTTGTTGTTATTATTATAAGTGTAGTCATAAATATTTACATACAATGAGTAGTAGGTAAATTAGGCGACCCCTTTAAAAACAACAAGTTTTATAAAAATTTGCTCTAAATTTTTAATCCAACCAGGAGCCTAGTCCTCTTTGAAAAAAAAGGTCTAGTGGACTTTTAAGTCCAAGTAGTTTGTTCTGACGCCTTATTTTATAAAGGTGACCATGGGGCAAAGATTTTTGTAGATACATATTATCAACTATATCAAAACAATGTATTAGATTATAAATTTGGATTGGATCGCATCGTAAGTGCCAAGACTCAAGACATGTGATGGTAAATTTAACTTTTTAATCTTACCCAGTATAAAATTGTCTCACGCTGGAAGCTCATTTTGCGTTAAACAGATTCAACAAAGGCTATATTAGTTTTTAAATAAGAAGCCCAAACAGACACTGCATATTCAAGGTGCAGTTTTACAAACACTTTATTTAACTAGCCATATTTCCATCAATGAAAATGAATGCCTTCTTTAACATACCAAAATTTTTAAGAAATTTGTGAATGAATATGTGTGCTCCACGTGTGGTTAGATGTAAAAACAAATCCCAAATCACGCTCTTTAGTATAGCTTCTTAAGCATTCATTCATACCTCAGTTATTTTTTAAAAGTAACAGCTTTGATCATAGTGAATAAAAAAGCATTTTAAAATCTTTAACTTAAGCAACCAAGTGTTTTCATTTACAAAGCGTAGACAATCCAGCAGGTCTGCAGCGAAATTAGTGCGCAATAAAATTTTAGAAAAAAAGTTTAGTATCTTTTTTATCCGTAAAAATTTACATATTATGTAATGAATAAAGCAAGCAGCGATTATTTTTAAATAGCCTGTTTACTAAGCCACCTAATTTCTTTCAGTTTTTTTAAAAACGTGTTGTGTTAAATTTTGGGGAGAGTGGCCCCCTAAAGTAGGCCCCCTTTTAAAAATGATATAATCAACTAGCTGCGCACAAAAAAAACTACAAATGATATGTTATTCAGGATATTTAATCTATGCTCTACAATTTTTTATCTAAAAATTAAAGATGCATACAACAAATAAACAAAAACGTTTTCTTAACCAAAAAATAATCTCTTTCAAAAAGTAAAATAAAAAACTAAACAAATAATTCAAAAATATGGTTATATAAAAAAATAGAGAAAAAAAGTTTTTTGTATTTTTTTTTAATATAAAAAAATCTCCTAAGTATAAATACTTTGTAATATAAAGTATAATAAATACTTAAAAATAGAAGTTATTTATAATATGGAGATTTTGTAAATTAAAAAATATATTTTGAAAAATATTTTAAATAAATTACGCATGTTGTTTACGAAAAATAACTCATGTAAAATTATCACAGATTTATACGTAATGCGGGATGCGGATACGGGTTTTTTATAATTCAATAGGAGTATTTCTCGAATTTCACGTAGGGGAGAAATACTCCCGACGGAAACATTAGCCCGTATTTTGACCTGCATAACATTTGTCGCATGTCGCTACGTCGTGAATAATAAAGTTCTGAAGTTCCTGGTGTTATAAAAGTAAATAAACTTATTGTAAAATTAAACAAAGATATGTTTAACAAGCTTAGTGTCAAGTTATCATCTGTTAATGCTACAGAAATAAATCCTAATAAAGGTAGGGTTTTTAGTTTTTTGAGTTCTTATGTTATATCGATGGAGAGCTCTCTTTGAATAAAAACTTAAGAGAGAATATTTACTTTTAATGAGACTTACTCTCTCTAGAGAGAGTAAGTCTCATTAAAAGTAAATGTTATGTTATATCGATGGAGTCTCATTAAAAGCATATATTATGTTATATCGATGGAGAGCTCTCTTTGAAAAAAAACTGAAGAGAGAATATTTACTGTTAATGAGACTTACTCTCTCTAGAGAGAGTAAGTCTCATTAAAAGTAAATATTCTCTCTTAAGTTTTTATTCAAAGAGAGCTCTCCATCGATATAACATAAGAACTCAAAAAAATAAAAACCCTACCTTTATTAGGATTTATTTCTGTAGCATTAACAGATGATAACTTGACATTAAGCTTGTTAAACATATCTTTGTTTAATTTTACAATAAGTTTATTTACTTTTATAACACCAGGAACTTCAGAACTTTATTATTCACGACGTAGCGACATGCGACAAATGTTATGCAGGTCAAAATACGGGCTAATGTTTCCGTCGGGAGTATTTCTCCCCTATGTAAAATTCTAAAAAGGCTTCTTTTGTAATTAAAAAAAAAACTTTATTAAAAATGCGTTACTTAAAAATTTTATGAAGTTTTAGCGCTTTTTTTTTTATTTGATAAAGCATTCTGGATATTTTTTGGACGAAAAAATTATTGGACGCCAATAAGACGTTCAAAAGACGTTTAGAGTTTTAATGGGACGGACGGACGCGATTTGAACGTCCTAAGGACGTCTTTTTTACGTCCTGTGCCCACTGGGTAGAACCTCTTCATCGTCAACAGAAACACATTGCACGTCTTATAAACTTTAAAGACCATTTTACTCATGCCAGGCCTCTCTTACTTGAGACGAATATTTTAAATATATATCAGCTAAACGTTTATAATATTTTATGTTTTATGTATAAATGTAAAACCAACGATTCCCCTTCTTCCTTTCATAACCTTTACTCAATAAAAGAGAAAAACAAGTACAATCTACGAAATGATAATTTTATTCGACTACAATTTTCGCATACAAATATTGGTAAATCTTGTGTTTCTTTCCGAGGAGCCTTTCTTTGGAATAAAATAGTTTTGAAATATTGTGACTTTTCTCATGAATGGACTTATACCTCATATAAAGGGAAACTTAAGAAAATTATTTTGTGTATTGATAATATACTTTTATACTTTTATTAGGAAATTTATTTGTAAATAGCTATTTTTATTTATAAAAATATAATATTGCTAACCACAGTTTTTTTAATTATTTTAAAATATTTAACACGTAAATTTGTAATGAGTTTGCAGCGGTTCTCGACGACAAGACCTTATGGTCTTCTACGAGTCTCCGCATTCTTTTTCTTTTTATATTTATAGTAAAAATACTCACTTGTAATTGTTCATATTATTATAACTTAACTTGTAATTTTATAAATATTGAAGAAATGTAAAAAAAAAGAAAATAAAAAAACTATATTAGTGAAAGCAAAAGTTTAATGACTATATTATTAGTCATTAAACTTTTGCTTTGATGACTAATATTATTAGTCATTAAACTTTTGCTTTGATGACTAATATTATTAGTCATTAAACTTTTGCTTTGATGACTAATATTATTAGTCATTAAACTTTTGCTTTCACTAATATAATTTTTTTTTTTTTTTTTAATTTTCTTTTTTTTTTTTAAATTTTTTTTTTTTTAAAAACAATTCTTTTTTTTTAAAAAAATTCTTATTAGTAATAAGAATTGTTTTTAAACATTGATAATGTTGACGTGTATATATATATATATATATATATATATATATATATATATAATATATATATATATATATATATATATATATATATATATATATATATATATATATATATATATATATATATATATATATATATATATATATATATATTTAGCTAATTATCTGTTATCTGAATCCGTATCAGATAAATTTTTGCAATCAACACTATAAATTGCAAACAAAGTTTAAATATTTTCTGATAGAAACAGTTTTTAATCTTTAATAAATAAAATTGAACTTGTTATGGGATCTGAAGGAAGTAATTTTTTTTGTCTTTTGTTTTATTTGAATTTTAAGCTGCATTTAGCTACACAATCTTTTATAAATGAAGAGATTGTTAGTTTTGCATAAGAACAACTACAAATAGTCATAAAGACTAAACCAAAGACCAAGATTTTTGCATATCAAAATAATATTCGAATAGCAATTTGGTACGCAAAAATGTTGGTCTATAAAGAAAGATACTTTGCGTTAGTTTTTATAAGATATGAGTTTAAATT